GGTCGTCGTGATGATGTGGAAGAGCGGCTAGCGTGTGCGCCAAATAAACCGGTCGACGGTTGACCGATCCTACGCTGTAACATATTTCTTTGGGGGACAAGGCACGTACTGCTCACATAGTGAAGTTATATAAACGTTAAATTTGTACAGGAATAGAAATTCTTCCTAGGTCACGACTGTAGAATAAGGATATGCTTGTGGTAGCTTTTTCAAAATATTTCGACTATGAAGGCTTAGTGAATGTTTTCAACTATGCCAATTTTATGATTAACGAGTGTAAGAATTTAAATAATACAACAAAAATATAGAAATGATCGGCTGAGTCTCATTGCACACACTGCTCCAAAACCCCCGTTGAGCAGTTGGGAACTCTTTGGAGCGGTACGTTGTGTAGATCAAGCCGAGAATTTTGGTAGCGGTAATAAGTACCATAGGCCGATTTCGCGGATAAAAAGGCATTATTCACAACCGGTATGCGTACCAAACTGACATGTTTCCATTTGCACATTTCTATCGAGTCCGTGGTGTTTTGAATTGTTTCGCTAGTTTCATTATGGTTCGGTTTATTATGCATGTTATATGAGTATTCTTGCGGGTCAATTAAAAAGAAATAGATCGAGAAGTACATAGAAAGGGCGTTCACGAAACTCTTCGTAATAGGTTGTGGAAACGAAATGATGGATAAGCAGCTATCTCACAACAATAAGTAAGATGTAGTAAATAAGATTGTACGCTGCTTCTCATTTGGTTTAAATGAGCTAAAACGCAGGGGGCAAGGCAAAAGTGTAGCGTTCTACGGTAAGTGTACGGTCATATATGCACTTGTCTGACCGTTGACACGCCTGTTAGCTCTGCGGCGGTGTTTTATAAAGAATATCTCCATTGTGAATCAATTCTAACCATTGCCGACCATCCTTTTGGATATAACTAGGGTTTTTATTATGCCCAACAGACACCGTGCTACATAATTAGTACAGTGTCTTTAGAACCTCTAACTCTGAAGGCGTCTTTCCTTTACCTTAAGTAATTATGTGAAAAATATAGTGATTGAGAGTTGAAAATAACAAAGTGGTTACAAGTAGAGC